GAGGTCTGAGGAGCCCTCAGAACACAGACTTCCAAAGTAGTGAGCTGTTAGCTCAAGGCTCCTTTCAGCTGCTCACGGGGAAGTCCTGCATCAAAACATCAAGCAGACAGATGCTTCTGTCTCAAAGCTAGGGGTGACTGTGGTCAGACAGCAAACAGAAGGCCAGCGTGGCACCCTGACATCTGTTAATCTGGGCTATGCAAAGGGGTAGTTCTCACCATGTGGACTATGTATGAAACATCAAATAATAAAATAAGCATTATCTTTCCAAAAATACTTTTATCAAACAAATATAAACAAAAATAAACATGATCTTCACTTTGACTCTTACAGACATGTCCCTTCTTCCCTCCAGGCTGTTAATTTCATCCTTGTCGGAGCTCGTGACCTATCTTATTTATACTGTAATGGATAGTCTATCAATAAGGAATTTTGGACTTGAAAATCACTGCAATGATTTTTCTGCAAGGAACTTTAAAGCATGAAAAGAAAGGCGATTAATCCGTAAAGCAGATCATCATGAAGATATGCAGGATCCCTCCTTCCCAGGAAAGGCCTGCCCTTCTGATTATAAACAGCTTCCTCTGAGTCTTTCAATGTAGTATCAATCAGAGGGTGATGTGACAGAGCCAAGTAGATAACGATGCGGAAGGGAAGACTGTGCTGTGAGCTGAGACTCACACCTTCATGAGCTACCTAAAATAAATTACTATTCACATCTGTACATGGAAAATAGAAATTGCTAGAAATCCCTGCTATTGATTAGAGTGGAATAGACATGACTAATACGGGGAGAAAACATAGGAAATAAAAGGCCTCCTTTTAAGCATTGGACATCTACAATGAATTCAACACATAAATGTAGCTAAAAAAAACCAATACTCTATTCCCTTTTAAAAATCTATGCCGTATCAGGATTCTTTACCTCATTCCAACCCAACTGATGTGGGATGTTTAGCTTGACGATACAATATGAAAAAATGCTTATGTACAATGGAGCGTGTCTATAAACCCTGTGTAAATAGTTTATTTTTTAAATCAGACTCTTAGTCGGTTGTAACATACTAGTGCAAAATGTTGTACATCATAAAATCTGCAACGGAACAGCCGACCTCGAGATACGCAAACATCCCTAGTGATGGGTGCTCAGAGGAGCCCAGAGGTCCTCGGACTTTGTCGTGTCTCAGGCAGGGCAGAGTGAAGCCAGTGTACGTAAGGAGTGTGCATTTTCCAGAAGATTTCTTCAGGAAGGCTTTTCCTTTGTAGAATATTCAAGTCCAGGGGGGTTAAAAAGTAAAGGAATTAAAAAAACAGAAAAGAACACATATTAAGTTGTTACCATTTTGTCACCGCACCAGAAAGACACATCCATGTGCTCAGAAGACTACATCGAAGGCATCCAGCCTCACGGAGACACAAAAGTCTGAGGCGTTGAGTACCACGTGTCTGCGGACTCTGCGGACTTCTCGTAGGGTCTCGCTTTCCAGCGGATGCAGCCAGGCTTTTGAATCCATTTTTCAGATGAAGATGCTTTTGCAATTTGATCCTCAGAAGTCTTGGCCACGACTGAGAATTTCCCGCTGCGTTATGCCAGCAGACGATGGTCGAGGTTGCTGCAGCAAGGCAAGGGGAGAGGGGGTGGTATATGGCACCGAAGGATTACTGCTTGTCCGTCAGAGGTATGGCTATGGATCGGTCCTATGGGGCACTGAGGGCTATACCACTGTACACACTGTGTTCAGAGTCGTGTCAAACCGCACAGCCTTGGCCTCTGTGGGCTTTAAGTTTGTATCATACATGGGGTTTTCAAAGGAAGCTTGTCCATTGCTAGTCTCGTGCCCAGCATAGCCATTGTACTGAACTTTTGGTCTTGTTCTGAAGGGAAGAGAGAGCAGGTAAGGTTAGAGCCCTGACCACAATGGGATCACACCCCACTGGATCCCACCCTCCGCTTCCTCAGGGCAGCAGGTAATCCTGCAAGATAGCAGAGGGGCAGAGCACACCTGCCACCTCACCCCAGCTGAGACTCTGGAAAATTGGTGGCTGGGATTATGAAGAAAGTTGAAACACGGAAACAATTTCCAAAATCAAAGAACTCGCTGTGCTTTGAATGAATGCGCTTGGGAACTGGGGAGTTCTCCTGGCTGCAGTCAGGGAGATGTATGGTCTGGAGATCCATCTGTTATCACCAGTGAGTGGTAAGACGTTGGCTAAGCCTCTGCAGTCTTTATTACCTTGTGAAATTGATGCTTATCCAGCGATCCCCACCCAAACCTTAAGTGATCACCATCACCAGCATTCACTGAAAGCTAGCTAGTTTTGCAATGTAATTTTTTTCTCAGGCTGGTTAAAAAAATGAGCCCCTTTATTAAAATGAACCTGTACTCATAATTAAAATGTTTTCAGGCTTTGTGGTTAAAGGAAATCGTCTATGCTCAATTCATGCTTAGAAGATTAGAGGATTTTTAGGTTGAGAATATCTAAATATGGGGCTAGGGAGATGGCTAAGTCAGTAAAGGGCTTACTTCATAGGCATGGGGACATGAATTCAAACCCTACCACCCACAGAAAAAAGTGAGATGCAGCCACACACCTCTGTGACCGCAGCACTGAGGAGGTGGATGGGCTGGGGAGTCAGCCTAGCCCAACTGGAGAGAGCTCCGATTCAGTGAGATGTTGTGTCTCAAAAAATTACGTGAAGAACAAAAGACCAGTACAGCCAGTATAAGCCTCTGGCCTGAACACACACACACACACACACACACACACACACACACACAGAGCACACACACACACACACACACACACGTGTGTGTGTGCAAATAACAGACACTAAAGAAGGAAGGAAAGGAAAGAAAGGAGGGACGGAGGGAGGGAGGGATGGAGGGAGGGAGGACCTAACTATATCTGGCCAGCACTCCCCCTTATCTCAGAATAAAACACATGAGAAAACGCTCATGTGGTCACAACACGGGCAGAAGTATCACTTGAGAACACATGTAAAGAAACATTCTCTGGTGTGATTTCTTGACTTTTCATGTATTCATTAACCAAATGACATGCAGAAAGCATGTGATTCTCAGAAAATGGGTGTCTGTCACAGAATCTCACTCCATTAACACTGAATTTGGGAAATGTTGAGCCGCACAAGTCAGCAAAGAAATTCTACCCATCGTTAATGGGCTGGAGGCCTGGCTGGCGTTGGTCACTTGAACCCAGTGTGGTCCTGCTTCCTGCATAGGAGGAGGAGGAGATGCAGCCAGAGGCTGGAGAAGTCTCAGTGAGGCAGGCTGTGTCAGGACCAGGGATCTGACCGAGGATCGTTTTCCACTATACAAGGAGGGAAAGGGACTCCAGGTCTTCTGCCCAGCCACCTCATTAAGGAATGTTTCTACTTGCTGGACCTGAAAAGTCAGGGCAGAGGACCCTCGGAAGAAAGTCACCGAGTGAAGGGCTGGGCTTCTGGCTTTCCACATTTTTGCTTTGCAAAAGGTTCCTTGTGCCCATATGGCAGAGAAGCATTCACAGATCTATGCAACACAGGGGCTCCATGGTGAGTCAGAGAGGAGAGCGGCTCTCTGCACGCTGTGCAGTGCTCTGCTTCCTGAAGATTGGGGTAAGGGGCTATCACAATGAAACTGAAGGTCATACTCACTAGAAGAGGCAGCTCATCATGTCCCTGCTAGCTGATGCTTCTGCATGTGGGCAGAGGCACCCGAATACTGAGCTTCTGCAGGAAGCTCCTGGGTTTACAGACTGAAGCAATGATATTCTGTAATGCCCCATGCAAACCCATTTCAGAATTCAGATATAATCAGATCTCATTTAAGTCTACAGAGGCTGCCAAAGACAGGGGACACTGACTTACAGGGAGGTTTGCCTCCTCTCAGAGGCACACAGAGGCCTCACTCTCTGCCACATGGAAACTGCCCAGCTGAGATCAAGACTAAGAGAAGGTCAGAGGCTCCTGACTTACCTGACAGGGTCAAAAGGTGGGGGAACTGCTCTGTCCTGTCCTGGGGTGAGGATTACAAGGATGGGTGTGAATGTGAGGAGCAAGACCCTGCTGATGCTGTCAACGTAAGAATGGGATTCTACCTAGAGAGCTTTGAGGGAAGATGCACACTTCCTGTCAGGACATGAGTCATAGACTGTCCGTATATTCATTATCAGTGCATCTATATCCATTAACTTCTAAATCTGGGAAGAATGGAGAAGACTCCCAGGGCCCGTGAGCATAGACTGGTTCTTTCTTCCAAATAAATAATAATAAAGCAGTTATATGTCTGAGATTTCTTTCATTTGGTTGTGTTTGTTTGTTTGTTCCGAGACAGGGTCTTTACTGTGTGATCCTGACCAGGCTGGAATTTGCTGTATAGACCACTCTGGCCTTGAACACACAAAGATCCACCTGCCTCTGCCTTTCAAGTGCTGGGATTAAAGGTGTGCACCAGGTCCACGTCCAGCCAAACATTCATTCATTCATTTAGGGAGGAAAGGTGGAGCACTTCTATGGGAGGACTGGTTGCTGGAGTCAGTTCTTTCTATCATGTGGGTTCTGGAATCAAATCCAGGTTGTCAGCATTTGCAGCAAGCACCTTTACCCACTGAGCCATCTCATTGGCCTGTTGGCCTGTTTTTAAAGTTAGAATATAGCCAAGCAAAGACATACCTGCAAGCCAGTAATGAAACATGAGCTTGAAGCAATACTCATCTTACAATCTTTTTATAAAGCAATCCCCTCACTTCAGTTTTGTTTTGTAACCAAGATTAAGTGAATGTATGTCAATTATATAAACAAGCATTTGACATACCTGACAAGCATTAACCTTATTCCTGGGGATCATAAAGTTGTGATAGTTGTAGGGAACACTACTGTTCAAAATAGTATTGTAGACTGATTGACATATAATAAACTTTTACAAAAATACATTATCCACATGGAAAGAATGCACATGAGGACTTTCAGTTCTCCAGAACTTTTGTTTGTTTGTTTTAGATAGTCTCCTGTAGCCCAGGCTGGCCACAAACTCTAGGTAGCTGAAGATGACTGTGTACTTGTGATCCAACTGCCTCTACCTCCTGAATGCTAGGATTGTAAGTATGCAGTAAGAACGGAACCCAGGGCCTTGTATACGCTACACAAACTCTGTCAACTGAGCTACATTCCTAGCCTGTCCATAACCTTAAACAATATTTTGTATGTGTGCACGTTAACCCCAAGGAAAGGGGCTTGTTTATTCATTCTCCTTATTCCTAAACACTTCAAGTTAACAGGTATGAGAGCATCTTTCAAGGAGTGGAGCATAGACTGCTCATGCACATGAAGACTCAGTTTTTAAGTTGTTGAAGGAAGCAATGTAATATATAAACCTAAGAATCGTGGAGCAGAAAGGACCATAGAAACCATTCGTCTGCACCTTCTACCGGGAGGCTGATACCATCCCAAGGCTCTGATGCTCTGGGCTAGCCTGGTCATTTGTTCCTTTAAAGCTAACTACTTAGATATGTCCTGTTGACAAAACACAACAAATCAAATAAAGAAGAACAAAATAAAGTCGATTATCAACCAGGAAAACTTGGAAGCGAAGTATTCCTACATAAGAAAGAATTTTGGCATTTTTCAGTGCTAGTTGCATGGTGATAAAATACATGAACATGTGAGTTCAAGTGTATGCCTGCTGTTACTTAAAACAACATGTTACACTGAGAACTGAGCTTCTGCAGTACCTGTGTTTGTAGAGGTAAAATGCAAAACCTGACAGAATGAGGGCGAAGAAAGGAACCAAGATGGCGGCCGCCACAGAGCCGCTGCTGGTGCCCTGGTAATGGTTCGAAGGATCTGGATCAGAGACTGAAGGATCTAGAAGATAAAAGGAATTTGAATTTGAAAGAACTGCAGAATGCTTAAACAGAGCAATATCTACCATTCATCTTCAGGATGAATACAAGAAGCAGAGGATTCCGTCCCACAGGGAATCGACTCAGTACGCCTCCCTGAAGATGACTGTCAGGTTCCCTTCTGTGCGATTTCCCTGTCACAAGCATTATATGTAAATGAAACCCTCTAGATTTTTCAGCAAGCATCATGCCTCACGGGCTACCCCTGTCATACTGGGTATCTGTATCTTATTCCTTTCTGATGGTGAATGTCATCGATTGTGGGGATACATTCCATGCTCCTTATTTGCTAGGTGATGGATTATTTGGATAGTTTCCTTTCAGACACATCTTAGGCAGGTGTGTACATGAACCGGCATCAGATCTGACTGTACGAGTAGGGATGGAAGTCCTGTGCCTGTAGTCACTTTATGTTTGACTCTGCTGAACTATAATCTGCTTCCAGGACAGCTGCATCATTTCGTGTTTTACTGGTGACGTATGACCTCCAATTCCTCCACCTCTTTGGCAACACTGAATTTATTTTCTTATCTCAGCTGTAATAGAGGCTGCAAAGTGGTGTCTCCATGTAGTATTGATTGATAGCTACCAATTAACTAATCCTGTTTGTGATGGCTGCTCTGTTCTCAGCTTGGTGAGATCTAGAATCACCTGCAAGGTGAGCCTCTGGGCAGGCTGTGGGGAATTACCTTGATTGCTTTAATTGAGATAGGAAGACATGCCGCTTGGGAGTGGTGCCCTCCCTGCCTGGGATCCTAGACTGTAAAAGTGGAGAAAAGGAACTTAGCAGTGGCCTTAGTTTACTCCTCTCTGTTTTTCGGTTGTGCATGAGGTGTGATCAGTTTCCTTGAGATCCTGCAGCTGAGCCGTCCCACCATGATGGACGGCGGCCTGAACTGGAAAAGCTGGTCACAGCGCTCTCTTAAACTGTTTCTATCAGAGTATTTTATCACAGCAACAGGGAAAGACAATGTTCAACAACTTCTTGGGTTTGTTATCTCTGAGTCTATAATCTGAACAACTTGTACTCAAACCCTACGTTGTTGGCTCGGTCATTAGTGTTTGTGATATGGAGCTATGAATCCTTTATGCATTCTAGATACAAGAAAATTAGGTTTGTAGTATTTATAGATTTCCTCTCGTTTTCTGTGTGTTGGAGAATCATTCATTTTTCATGTGGAAACCAATTCATGCTGTTTCCTGTGGAAGTTGCTATGTTAGAGTTGTCTTTCAGATTAACTTACTTCAGTACGCATTCAACCATAATCACTTTATTTGGTTTATCTACTGACTGGATACAATTAGGAGGTTGTTATTTTTATACACAAAAAATAGGTTTTATTCATCAATCTTAAATGAGTGATGGTTGCTGAGGCATTGCTAAAACACAGGCTTTTCTAATTAGTTGAATGGGAGACTCACTTGGGATCCAAATTATTTTCTAACGCAAATTGTTTTTGCTGACAATAAGGTTATCCTTACAGAAGAATAAAGATTACTTGTCAATGCAAGCTGTTATTTTGTTCCATTAAAAAGGAATTTGGTAATGTGAAGAAAATTTGCTACACTTAAGGATAGCTTCTATCATTTCACTGGATGTATAAAACCTGACATCCACAGGGCCTCTTGCACAGCTCACTGACACTAACGTGTCTGACTGTTGAGCCACTGTGGGAATGGAAAGGAAAGGGAACAGGGAGGCTGGGATTTGGCCTAGAGCAAGATTAAAACAGGACCCATGATGAATGTGAGTATAGAGCGCTCGCTGTATTCAATTAACTCCAGATAATGTAACCCAGTTTGAAATATCATCTCAGCTTTTGCTGACACCAATTTAAAGTTCTTCTCTTTAAGATACTGAATGTGGAATGGTGGAAAGAGTGTGTTATGATGGCTTGTCCTTTCTAAGCCTGGTTCTCCTCCCATACAGTAATGCACAAGTTGGCCCCCTTTGCAGCCCCTGGGGATCTGGACGATGGCCTGTGAGTGCTCCCAGAAGCAACAGTCATCACCGTGGAACTCCACACTCACTTCCTCCTCATGGGGACGCTGGCATCAAAGCTTGCACAGCAACATTACTCTCCAACGAGGTAATGACAAATGGCAGTTAGTAAAGCAATTCGTATTGTTCAGGGGGTACAATGCTAATCTCATTTCAAAAGTTCCTCTCAGCTTCCGTGTTGGTAGACATGAGCAGGATGTCCATGTGGGCAGAATTTACATGCACACAAAGCAAGCGTTGGCAGTGCCTCTTAACATAACAACCAGCGTGTTTGTGTCTGTACTGAATTTTCAGACATGACTCAAGAATGTTAGGCCTCATCCTACATTACGAAAACTGCAAGCAGGTGTGAGGAGAACGGACGACTTCCTGCTTGCAGGTTCCTTTTTAATGGCTCAGGAAAACAGTCGTATGATAGAGAAGGGTAAACAGGAGGAAAGAGAGCCTCATGCCTAGAACGTGTGTGAGCATGTCTGTCAGGAGCATCTCCCACCTCCAACAGTCAGAGCTCATTCCCTGAAGGAAATTCATTGAGAAAGATGCTTCCTGTTCAATGCACTATAATTTGTTGCATAAAATTAACATTGAAGCAATCCCTTCACGACACATGTCCAGGTTATTTCTTAAAGCTGTTTTTTGTGTCTTTTTTACTTTTTTTGGATACTTATTTATTATTTAATTTTTATGAGACAGGGTATTGATATATAGCCTAAGCTGTCTTGGAACTTTCTATGTAGACCAGGCTGGACTTGAACTCACAGAGTTCTGCCTGCCTCTGCCTCCCAACCACTGGGATTAAAGGCATGAGCCACCCATGCCAAGTTGCTTCTCTCTCTGTTTTGGCACTACTGGGGACTAAACCTAGGGCCTTGTCCGCGTTGGAAAAATGCTCCTATCACTCAGCTACAGGCCTGTACAGGTTATTTATAAATTTTGAAAATATTCTTGATTGATACAAAGCAAAGCTTTTTAAAGAACAGTTCTTACACTTGCACAGTTACAAATTTTACAGGGATTTGTTGGGCAAAAGAGGACTGCTGAGTTAAATATCCACTCACCTGTTCACTAAAGTCACACATTTGGTGCCTACCCTGTCAACATTTAAACAGAAATCCTTTGCCAACTAAAAACCATATTGCATTGTTATTTTACACAGCTGCCCATTTTTTAAGATCTTTCATAGACAGGCTAGCCACTTTTGATTTTGTTTTGTGTTGTGTTTTGTGTTTTGGAGACAGCATCTCCCTGTGGTCCCAGCTGACATGGAACTGGCTATTTAGAACAGGCTAGCCTCAATCTCACAGAAATTCTCCTGCCTCTGCCTCCCAAGTGCTGAAGCCTGGGATTAAAGGGTGTGACACTACACCCCGCCTAATTGTTTTTAACTACTTTTATTTTCCTTTCTTCCTTTTCACCTATTTTAAATTTATTTATTATCATTTTGTGTATGAGTGTATTGCCTGCATGTATGTAAGTACACCTGTGTTGTGTAAAGCCCATAGAGGTCAGAAGAGGGCATCAGATTCCCTGGAATTGAAGTTACAGATGGTTGTTAGCCACCATCTGGATCTAGGAATCGATCCAAGATCTTCTGCAACAACAGCCAGTGCTCTTAACCACTGAGTAATCACCTGTTTTAAAAGTGTTTCTTGATGTGGTAATGATATTAATTACATATCTGTTATTTTATGGCATTATTTTTAGGATTTTTTTTTGTCTGTGTCTGCTTTTCAAGAGAACCTGGTTTAATCCAGTTCTAAGATCTGATCCCTTCCATTGCTTCTGTCTGTCTTTCGTCATTTTCCTGTTTCTTCTCAGTGGGATCATTTGGCGGCTCAGCTGATCTTTGTTTTACAAACGTTTGGTGCCTTTACCTTGTCTTTCCAGCTTGAACTTCCCAAAGTCTTTTCCATGTACGCCACCTTGAAAGGAGAACCCTCCCCTCTCAAGTCCTGAGGACACCTGATGGGCAGGGGACAGAGGAACATTGTTTAAGAAGGAATGAAGGAACTCAACTTTACCCAAGTCTAACTGTGACAGCCCAGATTTGGATATCACATGTCTAATATTTACTTTTCCCAAATTCTTTATGTGGCATGGTTTCATTCTTGAAATTGTAAAATTAACAGAGTTAAGTAAACAAAGAACAGTCTAGAGTTAAGTTTCTAGCAACACAGAACAGTCATGACCTCTTTTGATTCCCAATGTGATCATGTTTCACTCCTTTACATGGAAGCTACCCTCCCTGAGGGTATGACCATGAGTTAACTAAGCACTACTCCAGTTATGTGAATTCCCTTTGGTGAGCTGTTTTCTGGGATGCATCCTGGGGTGGTGTTTCCTTGTGAGACAGTGAATCGGAACACAAGTGTCTAGCTTGCAAAGGACAGCAAGCGAAACATGGCAGCTCTTGGGGAGCCAACTGGAACTTTCTGAGCATTTACCAGATGGTCTTGGAACGTCTCTGCTTGTCCCACTCTGATGGTGTGAGGCTATGGTATTACCAGGGCACAACCTGGGCTGATCACCGTCCATCGTCAGCAATAATAATGCCTTCACTATGAACCAACTAATTTATCATTTCAGAAACTTTGTTGTTGTTATTACCAAATGATGGGGCATTGTTGCCATGCAATTGCTAAGTTCCTGAGGGACAGGCCTGGTCTCCCTTGCCCAGAGTCCTCAGAAGACCATGTATTCCTCTGCCCAGACCTGGAACTGAGGGAACTCCATGCAAAGTGGGAAACCCCATGGCGAGTACTTACATAACCATCCAGTCCCCAGTTGTCATTTTCGAACTTGCTTACAAAAATATCTGCTGGGCCTTTGATATGAAAAGCTTTCAAAAGTAGGTGGGCCTCCTCTTTCTTGTAGACTCCTGATAAAACATCAGAGTTGTCAGCCCTCCGTTCAGGAAGTCAGTGACTCAGCTATTTACCCATTAGATGAGGAACAGGTACAGTGGGGATCAAGCCACAGATGGGAGAACATTCAAACACACGTTTTATTTTAAGATTGAGTCTCAGCACTTTCTCCTCTGGAAAACCATTTCTTGACATGGTTCTTGAATGAATTTCTCTCAAATAGATATAACTCACTCCATTAAACTCAATCTATTATCCCATCAAAAGAATAAAATTAATATGCATTCAGTTCTGTTGATAGGAAGAGCCCACATTCTCACCCATACTTTATTTGCTTCTGAACACAGGACAATGTAGGGAAAGTAGAACAAAATGCTAATCAAAACGGAGCTATATGTGGAGATGACTTGCACCATCCATAGGAAAAGAACCTCCTGGTGGGGAGCATAGGAGGACAGCACAGAGATGTGTGCAGAGTGACCAGCTGCACTGTGCACAGGAATGACCCAAGTGCTGCCCAGAGAGCTACAGGAGGTGAAAATGGGGGATACCTTGCACCTGCAATTAGGGTCCTTCCAAGAAAGGAAATAAGTGAATATGCAAACCACATCTATTAGGCAAATAGTGTTGAACCTGTCATGTTCCTCAAGCAGAGAGGACACAGGGTTCAGAATCATCATGCAAAAGTCCCACAGGAAACGCAAGTCATTAGAGAAGCAAATCCTTTCTTTCTAGGAGTGGGCTCCATCAGCAGATGCCAGGCAGGAACCTGAGCCCCCTTCTGTGCAGTGTCTTTACCACCACAGGCAGCTAGCTCAGTGATCTCTGTCCGTGCACTTAACCTCTAAAGCTTGTAGCCACTTCTGTGTGCTGCAAGGGAGATTGCAAAATCTATCTTGATGAGATTTTCATGATGAAAGTGCTCCCTTTCTTCTACTGGTCATTCCTTCAGCTGTCCCACTGTGGGAAGTCTGTGTGTTCCTAGGATTCAAACACCACCTAGATCCAGATCATGGCCTTCCTGACACTAGACTGTAGAGACTAAGGGCTAAATTCTTTTGGAGCATTCCCCTTTCTGGCCAACGAGCCCCTGGAATCCCTCTGTCTCCAACGTCAATGCTAGATTAAAAACACACACCACTATGTTGAGCTTTTACATGGATGCTGGGGATCTTCTAAGGAATTCAAATGTTCAAAAGTTCCTTAATTTATTCTATACATGATGAATTTTAGGAACCCTATCTAAATCATTCACTTGATCACAGGTGCTCTGTGTAAGGGAACATGTGCCAGTGGGTGTGGGTCCATAAACACACCCCCACCTCCATCTACGAACAGGACACTGTGCTTCCCTAACCTAGGCATGCACCCTATTTTGTGATGTGTCCCCACCCAAGGATTCAAGGGAGAGCATTATGGGGAGAAGAGTGGGGGCTTGACTTGTTGTTCCCCAAAGAAGAATCATCTGATGGTCTACTAATGAGAACCTTGGAGAGGGTGGGATCTGTGGTTTATTGGCATTCGGACTTAGGACTGCTTCTTCGAAGTCATTCAAGAGAATCTTGGGCTTTACAAGTTGATACAGGAAAAATAATGTCATTATAAGAAATGGGGTAATTAAAAATACCACTAGAAGTTAGGCATGGTGGCTCATGTCTATAACCTCAGCACAGGGGAGTCTGAGGCTGAAGGATCACTGCCTGTTCAAGGCTAGCCTGGTCTATGTCATGAGGTATATGGAAGCCATGTCTTAACACTATCTGAATCAATCCCCCCTCAAACTATCACTAGATGTGCACATGATGGTAACTGTGCTTATCAGTTACTGGCCTGGGCTGAGATTAGACAGCTGAGCTCAAAGCCTCCCTCAGTCCGTTGCTCAACAGGGCTTGTCCTCAGAGTGTCTGTCTCTCTTTCTAGCTCTTTCTCTTTCTAAGCTAATTTTTCTTTAAAAGGCATAGGATAAGAGTTCGTACACCACAGCATCTATGTTGAAATGAAAAGGGTATCATATATACAGTGTTTAAAGCATATTTGACATATAAATCAGAGCTGCCCTTTTGCTGATGTCATCTTACTAATTTGGGAGCATGTGAGTCAAGAGCCAAGAGAGCGAAACAATTTAATCTGGAGCCAGGCAGCTCCGGCTGTAAATGGCAAGTTCGTCATTTAATATGCCGTGCACATAACGCTTAAAAAAATGCACTTTTCTGTGTTAGTTCCACAATCTTTAGAAAGAAGAGCGAACAGGAACAGACTGTGGTTATGAGCACTCTAAGAAGACTCAGTGCGGGCCAGGTGACGCCGGCACCACCTTTAGCAAGAGCCACACCCGTGAGTGCCATGAAACATCACATCACATACCTGTCAGCTCTATCTGCACTTGGGAGGCTGCAGTGAAGGTCGCGTTCACCTTGCTGCACGTCGCGTTGAACCAATCAACGGTGAGAGTCGCTGGCTGTCTTTTTCCTAAATATTCATAATATCCCTTCCACACGGAATTGACGAAAAACACATCAGAAGGAACTGTGGGGAAGAGGGGACAGGCCAGCGTTAACACACAGACAGGAGTCTAGACATTTTTAAGCACAGAAGGCCTTCAACTGCCCAGTGAGAGAGCACAGCTAAGGGCACTGTGACGTTGAGGAGGACCCGGGGCGCTGCCCCTCAGTGTGTGCACAACTCAGAAGGGGTGAGGAGACCGAGGGTGGGGCAGGCCTGGGGACTCACTGTCTGTTGGGAGGTGGTTGAACAGCGTGGGCATGCTGATTTCATTAGACATGGCAGGGCTGGAGAATTCCACAAATTGATTCGACTGCGTTGTTAGTTTTATCATGCCCAGTGGGAAATGTGCTCAGCCGAGGCCTGTCTCCCCAGTGCTATACCACAGTTGCCCAGGTCTGCTCACAGAAAACCAAGTTGGTGGGGAAGACGTGACATGGCCCTCCATCACAGTCCATCTCCACGACCTGGTACCTCCAAGCACAAGGTGGTGCCAGGCTTATGAAGGCAGATGGCCTTCATCCCAGGAAAGCCACTTGGCAAGGGCAAGCAGCCCCTCTCTAACCCATCTCTCCTATGCTATCTACATCTACTTCTGTGGGGCAAATAGCCTAGAATTAGTAAATACGGACGCTACAATCATCTCAACTGTCCATTTTGGGTATGCTCCTTAAATTGCAGGCATGAAAGACAGAGGGTCCTTTGAAAATAAAATTTCTCTACCACAGGAACACACACAAAGGGAGTTGAGATATATTCTTTAATTCTCAGGGTTTAGTAATCATATTAAACTTATTTTTCGTACCCCTGGTAGTAGTCATATATAAAATCCTGACATTTTGATAATCTAATATTGATAATATGAAATTGAACAGTGCAACTCCCCGTAAATTCACATCAGGCAGAATCCACTGTGGAGAACAGGCATCACAGCACACGGTTGGAGCTGTTGGGTAGAAATATTCATTTCTGTGTAAAATATATAATTTTTAGCAAGCCCAATGAAATGACAGAGGTGAGGTCATAGGTGCAACTGTGCCCACATCCATGTCCTGTCTTCTTTCCTAGTGACTATTTTTCCATTTCACTAAACAGGCATAGCCAGCAGAACCCAGACTAGCCAAGGAATCCTTAACAGAGAACTGCGTTTGGTGGCTTCCTGCAGCTTTGGGTAGACCCAGCTAACCATTAAAAGAGAATGGAATACAAATAACTCAGTTAAAGATGATATATCAACAAAAGTATTTAAGATCCTTATACTCAACAGAAAATATCTATACTTACAAGCAGCCTTAACAGAGAAACCCATTTTAATTGAAAACCCTAAAATACTTTGCTACTAAAATCGGCAGTCCCTACAGTAGCCACTTCCCCTACTGGAATCTGCATACACAGCAGAGGACATCACTGGGTGCGGGCCAGCTCTGAGCCAGTGCTGTGGATGCATCCCCATGATGGGGCTCCCTGGCTGGTAGAGGGGGTGAGAACCAAGGGCCTAACAGCAGCTTGGCTGAACTGAGCTGTGCTCATCAGTCACGGAGATGTCATCCTTTGGGGGCTCTTCTCAATTCATCTCCCTTACTGTTTGCCCTGTGTAGGAGCAAGACAAGGACCCGATAGCAGAGCTGTGTTAGGAGTTACTTCCTTGACCAAGATGCAATTTAACTAGCATTTCCCTTCAGAAAGAAGGACAGAAGGTAAGTTGACATTAATGTTTGCACCTGCAGAAGGTATCTGTAGTTATTTCAACATCTGGAACACAAAATAGGCAAATAAAAATCAAGAGGAAAAAATCATAATAACAATTGCAATGACAAAACTATGGTGTTAGAGAGAGGGCTCAGTGGTTCAGAACACTGGCTGCTCTTGTAGAAGACCCAGGTTTAGTTCCCAGCACCCACATGGCAGCTAAAAACCATCCTTAACTCCTGTTCTAGGGGATCTGACGCCCTCTTCTGGCCTTATATGGAATTGCATGACGCAGATGCACTTACATACATGCAGGTAAAACACGCATACACATAAAATAAAAATAAATTTAAAAAAATTTAAAAACCATATCATGTTTCCTTACACAGGTGTAAATACTACCTTGTAAAGTGTTGAACTTTGTCATTGATTGTAATATTTAAATAAAACAATGAAAACACATTTTTACTCTTCATGTATAGATTGGAGAATTCCCTTAATCCCACTTGTAGGCTATTTCTTCATTTGAGAATTATAGGAGTAGGGTTCTGAATTATCAGCATCATAAATACACTTACAGGTTGATTTTGAAGAAGAGTTTATGTCCAATAAGCCAATAAGGAAAGTACTAGCCAAATAACCTGAAGTATTTAGAAAGGTTGATATTTCTGTGTTTAAAGAAAAAAATAACTTGGGGACACATTATTTATAGAACTAGCACCCAAATTTCCAACATAGATCCACTATGTGGTTGATTTTCAGTGGTGGAAGCTTTCCTTAGGAACAACACGCTGTCTATTGCATTCTCCACATGACACATTCATAAAAGTCCATAACCCACAATCTACAAGACAGAGGATGCCTGAATTATGGAGATACTGGGAAAAAATAGGGCTCCACATTTGAACTGCTCAAATAACAACTTAAGCTGTCAAATGCCTTGTGTGTGCTACTTCCCTTGAGGACAGGGGATAGCAACCCTATTTATAAGGCTCTCCATCATACCACAAGTGGGTCAAAGTGCCCAACGTGTCTTCTAATGAAGCCGTGTGATCACAACAAAGTCTTCCTTTCAATGCTACCACTCCACTAAGAAGCCACGGGGAGAAAGGCATAGAAGTCTGTACAGATGTGGTGCATTCCCATGGACCAATGGATTCAGATTTTAAATTCTAAAAAGTGTTTCATTGTACAGGGTAGAGAACAAATCACTTTGATTGAAAGCTATAGCTGTTCTGGTATACAAACCTGGAGTTTTAGTAACTGTGTCATTAACTTCTCTCACTCCTTTACCTACAAGTAAAAAGACAAATTGTCATTTTCAAAAAACATTTATTTATTTATTTTTGAATCAGGCTGAAAAATGTCAAATCGAAGCGATTGTCCTTTCTCCAGATCTTTTAAATGTACAAGATATAAGTATCGTCTCCACAGACACTTCACACCCAGGTATTTACAGGAGGATTTCCTTGTGTGTGTGGGAAAGCTGAGCTCAGTGGTGAGCCAGTGTTCATGCCTCTAACATGGAGGACCACAGGGAAGGTGCTACAACAGAGAGCCTTGCAAATGAGGGTGGCCAGATGGCTTCCTGACAGCCTCTGAGTGAGCCCCTGAGCGGAACTGCCTCACACCAGAAGGAACCATGCCTCGTTATCCACCCCCCACCAACTCTGTGAAGTTATAAGAGAGTACTGAAGCAAGCTGGGCTGTTTAAATTGGTTGATGTTGGGTTTTTAACCCTCAGCTCCTATAGCTCCAGACCGACCTACAAATTATTTTCTAAATATTTGTACTCATCCGCATCTGTGGGAAATACATCTCAAGAAGCTCTAACTCGAGAAGTAGGAACAAATGGGCACCAAGGCTTTCAAGCTTCAGTTGGAAAGACGGTATTCTGTGAGGTCTGCACACACAGCCAGTGCTCATGGTGCACAGAGCCTGCCCCGGGCCACATGCTGGCTGTGCTGTGCCATCAAATCCAGCCCAGATTTGCTACTCCTGAGCGACTGGAGCACCATGATGCCTCTAAATGTTAATTGTTAAAATTGCTTCTGCAGTTTTTTTTTAAAGTACAACCAGTCACTCATTGAAAAAGTATCATCTTTATAATTGAGCAGGCAAAAAATCGCTTTTCTTTTCTCATTCATAAAATCAAATATTTTCTCATGCTTACAAGACTATTGAGCTGGTTTTGTGAGCTGCTGGTCATCTGTTAGGGCTTAAGTGGTTTTTAAAAGTTGGTATGTTGAGCCGGGTGTGGTGGTGCACGCCTGTAGACCCGGCACTTGGGAGGCGGAGGCAGGGGGATCTCTGTGAGTTCAAGACCAACGTGCTCTACATAGTGAGCTCCAGGCCAGCAGGGGCTACAGGGAGACCCTGTTTCAAAAAGACAAAAATAAATAAATAAATAAACAAATAAATAAATAAATGTGGGTATATTTATTTTTACATGATATCTGCTGAAAATATTTCCCTAGTTCACTCTTTATTTCTATTTTCTTTGTGTTATGTATGGACAATCAATGATTTTTACTGTTTGCAG